CCGTGCTGCCCTCCAGGGCCAGGGTGAGGGGCTCGTGGGTGCCCTTGTCTTGCTCCGAGGGGCTGGGTGGCGGCGAGGGGGACGCCTGGGCCTCCGCGGGGCTGCCTGCGAAGCACCACGGGAGAGCAGGCGTCAGCAGCGCCCGCGAGGCTGCCATCACCTTCACCACGGGGAGTCCAACGCGAGCAGCGACCCTGAGACCCCGGCGTTCCGCTCCGTCCCCACAACCTCCCTGCGAGCCCCAGCACAGGGTTCCTCCAAAGCCACGTCACTAGTGACCGTTTTGCTCGCAGTTTTGCTTGCACAGCTGTTTGCAAGCGCCAAAACGCAGCACGCAGCGGTCTGCCCACCCCGGCCTCCGCATCGCCCGCTCCGGCTGCGGCGCCGGCACCCAGGGGCTCCGGGTTTAGGGAAAACTCCCAGCTGGGGACAGGAGACGTGAAGGCAGCGGCCGAGGACAGGGACAAACTCGGCGTTCGGCAACCAGCAGTGCCAGCATTTGGCCCCTGCGCAGCCCACGGGCGGCTCTGCCTTTCCGAAGGGGAGCAAGCAGAATCCCTGAGGCCGCTATTGCAGAGCAGGAGGTGAAGGCGGAATAATGAAAGAGAAAAAACACAACATAAAAAACCCCAAATAGTTACTTCTTCATTCTAGGCACATAGCCAAGGATTTTGTTGTGGGGTTTTTTTCCTAGATGACTTTCGAAACCCCGTTTCTGGCAAACTAACACATGCAGAATGCGTGCACATCCTCATCCCATCTCATATCCTAACGGAGCGGGGTTCCAATCGAGTTGGATGTGTCCGGAGAGCGGGATGCCGGGAGGGTGGCGGGACTTACCCTGCGAGGCCGGGGGCTGCTGGCTGAGGCCCTGGCCCAGCTGGTCCGTGAGCCAGAGCTGCATGCGGATAAAGGGCTCCCGGCCCTTCTGCGTCAGCTTGCTCCACGGCTTGGGCCGCGACAGCATGTCGCTCACGCTGCCCTGCGACAGGCCCAGCACCTGGGGACGGCAGAGAGCTCGGTCAGAGGGATACGCCGGGACAAGCCCCCCGGCGCGGACCCCAGGCCGGTACCTTCTCCCCGAAGATCCTCTGGCAGATGCCGTTCTTGGCCAGCTTCTCCTTGACCTGCCGGGTGAGCTCCAGCGTGTCCACCTCGCGGTACATGTACAGCTCGTACTGCTCCGGCGTCAGCGGCGGCACCGTGGGCTTGAGGGTGCTTGGCACGTACGCCGGGTAGTAGGAGAGGCGGCCG